ATATTTTTCTTCTTTTTTTTTTTTTTTTTTTACAAAACTTCATAATTTAAATAATCAAAATATATTTTGACTATCAAAACGCTCATAGAAAATTGAAAGCTTGCTCGTATTTTACTTTAATTTAATCAAATTAATTTTATTTGAAGCAATATAAGTACATTCATAGTGTTCATTCAAAGAATTCTGATAGTAGAGTAGACATGTGCAAAATAAATACAAAAAATAAAATATTTAAAAAATTCATCAAATAAATACATATATACAAAATGTAACAAGAAAACTACTAAATATAATAATAATAATAATAATAATAATAATAATAATAATAATAATAATAATAATAATAATAATAATAGTAATATTAATAACATTTACTATATTAATTAAAATAAAAATTTGTCCTGTTACCATAAACAGCTATAGTTTATTAGATTGGAAGAGCATTTGAATATATAAAATTATTATAAATATATAGTTGACTTACTTTATACAAATTAAATTTTTAATTACCAACTGATTTATAATGAATTAGAAATTTTAATTACACTATTATATATCTTTATATTATTATGTTTATTAAACACATTTTGCTTTAAATTGTTTTTATCTTCACTTGAATTCGTATTTTAAACGTGGAATAAATAATTAATTTAAAATTCTATTTAAATATAAAGATGTTAGGTAAATTAATATTTATATGGAATTACACGATAATTAATATATTAACATAAAATTTATTGCTTAAATAGATAAATCGATAGATAGCTATAAACTTGAATAATCTATAAATATAAATTTCAGCCATTTCTTTTATTCAGACTAAATGCTAGTGCAGCAATATTCTTTGCTATTGATTTACAAGCACGTAATATGAATTTATATAGTAATTTGAAATCTCATTACTATGTACCTAAAGTAAATAATTAATTAAAATAAATAATTAATTTATGAAAAATATTCTACATCACCTATAAAAATTGCGCCACTTTATATCTTTAAAGACGTCAATTATTTGATAGAGGAATTTCTTATATTTTATTGAATAATTTAGAATTAATTAATTGAAGTCGTATTAATTTCATATAAGAAATTAAGAATTATGTGAATACATATGAAAATGTTGTATATTATATTCAATTTAATACAATAATTGTTTAGCTTCTGAAATATCGTCATGTTAATTAATTATATTTGACACTGATAAAACACTCGACTTTTATAAATATAACTTTACTAACATTCAAATAATATAAATGATGTTTGTTATGTACTTTTTAGATAAATAATTCATTACATAAGATATTTTAATTTATCCACAAAACAATTCATTTACAGTATAAATTATTAAAAAGTTTAATAAAACAAATTTTATATTAAAATATTATTATCTGTGTATATATATATATATATATATATATATATTTAAGTGTCTTGAACTTTAACATTATATTGCCGTTAATTTAGTTGTATTTTAATTTCTCTAAACGTTTAATATATTGCATATATTTTTTAAAAAGTTTAACAATATTAGACGATTCAACAAGTTATTATTTATATCTTTATCGTATAAAGAAAATATTATCTTATGAATAATGTGTACGTTCAAATACATATGTGTTCAAAATGTAAAAAAACAAAAACTGTTTGTACAATAAGAAAATGTGATTTATAAAAAAATACGATTAGTTCAGTGTACAAAAAATTTATAAAACAATCTAAATATCAAATCATTGTATTATCTTGAATTACTATATTAAAACAATATTTCACTCATATTTATCTATGTGATAATAAATTGTTCTGAATAATTAAAATTATTTTTCTCATAAATTATATATGTAAAAAATATTTATACTTTTAGAAACTTGAAAGAGAGTTTTAAAGTTAATTTCTTAGAATATATTATAAGTATATATTTATTTTGCTACGAACTTGCTTTTATCATTAAATTTTTAATGAAATTAACATATTTTATTTTTAATGAAGTAAAGCAATATTATATATTGTATTTGTATTGTTAGTAATAAATTTAAATACGCTTTATTTTAACGTAAAATTAAATAAATTCGATAAATATAAATAAATGAAGTATTTTATTCAAATGATTATTATTAAAATTATTAATTATTAATTTAAATTTGTCATAATTTTTAAATTGTAATTATCCTGATTTATTTAATTATCCTGAAAATAATATAATACAATAAAAAATTATCCTGAATTATACGACGATACAATTTTAATATATTTGATAATTATTCGCCGAGATTTAAGAATTATTTCAACGTAGTTTCGTGTATGTTGAGTTGCATTTTATATGAAAATATATTTTTTAAATTTTAGTTATTTTATTGTCATAACAAATAAAGTCAGTCACGAGAATTGAAAAATAGGATGATATCTAGAAGGACAGAAATCAACGTTATCAGTGCCACTGATATATTATTATATTGATAAGACAATTCAATACGAGAGATCCTATATTTTAATTATATAATTACTTAGTAATTCAATATTGTATATTATTTAAATAAAGATAGTACATATTATTTATGATCTTTTTACGCGTATATTTTTAAATTACATACATACAATTTTCTCAAGTTATTATTAATACTATTGTTATCCAATTTGCGTAAGATTTAAATTTAAATTATTTAAATTACTACTAAAAAAGGTGAATTTTTTTTTGATAAACAGTATGTCAATTACGTATAAAATAAGTAATAATTTTAATAGAAGTAAAAAATGAGATGCTTTAAAGGGAAAAATATTATTATAACTTGAGTAGTTCTCTTTAACGATAAATTTAATATAAATTAGAATTGTAAATTATATCGTTCAATCATATCGTGGAACCGTCGGTTATTGTTCCTGATAGTATTATTGTGTTATCAGAGAATAGCTTTGTATTTTCTCTACTTTCTATATATAAAATCTCTCCTTTCTCATAATATAATTCCGTAGGACTATTTTAATAATATAATTAGTTTACGTTTAAATTTAATATTTTTATCATTATGCGAACGTAAAATATTCCAATCTTTAACATGTTATTATTATTTAATAGACGTATGTGTAGAATATAATGGGATTTGCAATGTCCTTCATATGAAATATTAACATTACATTTTACAAACGTATATTTGCAGCTATAGAATGATGTTTCGATAGTTTCTTTTGCAAATAATGTGCATTGTATTGTTCTTTTTGCATGCTACAAAAATTGTGCATTTCATTTCTGCAGATCTCTGTAGATCAATGTACATCGATTGTTGAATAATTCTTTTGTAATGTGCTATGTAAATACCAAAAACGAGGTTCACTAAAATTTGTAATAAAATGGAAAAGCAATGATTATAATAAAAATAGAATGAGTAAAGCATAAATACGAATTTGTCACCCTTTTGATAAGTATATGGCTTGCGTGTGCTGTATCCTGGACTTTTATTTTTACATCAAATTGTATTTATTGCTAATACAATAACCATGAAACAAAAATAAAGGGGATGTGAGAGAGGGTGAGAGAGAGAGAGAGAGAGAGAGGGTGAGAAAGAGAAAAAAACGATACAAAACAAAGAAAAAAGAGCGCCATCGAAATGTCTACTCTTCTGCAATATTCTTCGAACGTTAAAACGTGTGCTGTAGATTAAGTCATATCAGGCTCAATACCTGGTCCTTTCTCCTAGGTGATCTGCTCGAACGATTATGTTGCTGCCTGCATATGGATTTTTCACATTCAAGTCGAATCTACATATTCATGGCGTTGCGGTAGATGTTGATGGCGATGACGATGAAGTTTTGATTGCGATGAAGAACGACGGCGACGGCATTGGGGGTTGATGATGGTCGTGGTGATGATGATGATGATGACGATCAAGATGAGAATGTTAGTTAAATAATGCTTCTTATTTTTGGTGAGCTTAATGACGGATGTGGTTGCCATCCTTTTAAATATTACTAACTCTTATCACCTACACATACAAAGCAGCTCATTCCATACATTCGCATATTTATATCTTTGCCCGAGCCCTCGTTGGCCCTCGACATGAATATAGTTTGCGAGAGGTGTTAATAAATTCGACTCATTGGTTATTTAGAACTGTTTAATTATTCATTCGCTTAGTAAGTGGACCTCGCACATAAAATGGATAAAATAAAATATTAATTTATCGCTGCAAATGTACTTCTCGCTCTCTATCGATATGTTTTAGATTTCATGCTTCAACACAGGCAGGTGTGCATAATACATTAATTAAAAAGTAAGGCTTTGTTGTTTATGAGATTTGAATTTGGTTTTTGAGTTTCTAGTCTTTTGGACTTGGCAAAACTTTTTTTTGGCTTAGCTTATGACGTAAATCATTGAGCCTTTAATGAATCGAAGCGTAACGGGGGACACTCGTGACTCCATTAATATATCCTCACGTTGTGTAATCGAGTGCATTAAACATATGTTGGCCACACTTCTTAAAATATATGGGTAATACATCTAATGAATAATAAATTATACGTAATCGATAAATGTATCCGTGAATTTTCAAACATCCAATTATTGTTATTCTTGATTTCATAGAATGAACTAGAATGCTTTTTGATAAATTAAAAATAACACATAGTTTAAAGTAGTGGAGAGAAAGGGTGAATATTCAAAATGATGAAGCAAATGTAGTATTTTGCGAAGAAATAAATGTAGATGAAAATTGCATAGAAAATAAAGCAAAACAACAGCTGAATCGATCGAGGGTCATTAAGATTCGACATGCAGCGACAAATGCGTTACCAATGCTACAATCATTATTAATCTAAATTCAAAAACTAATTTTATCGAAATCGCTAGGCCTTGAATTAATGCTACTTCTATTAAATCTATTGTTACAACTACCACTGTAATAATTAATACTACCAATGTCATTCTTATATATATATATATATATATATATATATATATATATATATATATAATGTGTGTGTCTGTGTGTGTACATAAAATATTTAAAGACCTGTTTCTGGGCCATGGACTGCATTTGTTGGAACATAATGCGCTCTTCTTCTTTGCCTGAAACAGGATAAAAGACGTATTTTTAAATGTCATCGCGTTGATTATGTTATAGGTAAAATGAAAATTCTGAACATATTATCAGTAGCTGTGCATTGTATTTAATGATTAGCGAATAATAGTATTTACATTTCTTATACTTAAGGCATCGATTGGCAGTCAAATATAAATTCCATAAAATGTTGTTATTCCAAGGGTAATTATAACGCCGTTTATATTTTCAAATTTATATAATCATTCCTATTATTTAGGGTTTAAAGCTTCTCTCCGAGTCTCATCTCTACTTACTTTATCTGTTAAAATTTTTCCCCGACGATAATACAACAGTGAATGCTTTCACTTTACGAGATGAGAATTATACTTATGAATATAGTAATAGAGGCTTCCTCGGCCACGTAAGATATCGATCCGATGTACGAATCTTTGTCTCTTTCGTAAAGTAGGACAAGCTTTTTAGCCCGCGAACTTATCGCGAAATAGGAAAAAAGCATTAAAATAAAATGTTATTGGTACGTCTAAAAGTTTTTGGAAGCTATTGGTCCCGAGAGGGGCTAAAATATTCTCGCGCCTATACCGAAGCAAAACATGGATAAGGTAATTAAATAAATAATAAAGATATTCGTTATATTGCCCTCTCACAATTTTTACAACAATTCCACTAAAACTTGGTGAATTTCTGCAATTCTAATTTAAATGTTTTCACAAACTTAATGACATATATTATTTTAAAAAACCAAGTCACACGATTATCCATTTAGCATATGAAAACTATTTGAAATAATTTCCTAAACAAAACTATTTTTAAATTCAATTTCATACGATTTTTTATTATCGAATTTATTTACTATAATAAACTATTGTTTGCCTATTTTTATTTCTACTGCCAAATATATATTATTCGTTTCGATTTCTCATTCGCTTCTTCTGCATTTATCTTTCATATTTTAATTTCCATAATATTATTACTCCTGCTGTGTACAATAAATATTTTGTACTATCGTATAATTACGTAATTTTTCATATTCTTCATTTTCTCTCGTTATCTTCGTTTTCATTTACAGATTTTACATAATTCAACGATAAAAATTGTCCGACAGTTAATTTATTTATCATAATTTAGAATTTTCCTCGCTCTTATTTTATGAATCTCAATCTTCAATCTATCGAATAATAATTTTTATTATATGTTTATCAGCAATTACGTTATTACGAACAAATGAGTTTTAATGTTATAATTATAATTTATAAAAAGTTTATATATCGAGTACATTCTTAATGCAATTTAAAAAACGATTCGATCAATATTTTATATTGATTACAAATCAAGTTGAATAATAGATATATTAAGCGCGTCCCTTTAATGTTATTTATCGTCAATCCCGACTAATTCTCTTTAAGTATTAACTACCTTCTCTTATTCGATAATGATTGTCATTATGACAGTTTTATTCGTTTAACTCACTTCATGGCATCTTAGTTGAACTAAAACTTTGTTGCTTTATTTCTTTGAATAAACTTTCATGCATTTATTAAGTAAATTAATAATTAATATACAAGTTTGTAAAATATTTTTTTTTTTTTTTTTTTTTTTTTTTTTTTTTTTGATTTTCAATGGTTATTTTACTAAAGGCATTTCTTCATTCTATTTAAATATAATAAAAAAAATTTATACTGAAAATTCAATAGTTTTAATTATGCAAATTCTATCGTACATATAATGAATCTTTCGTTTACACAGACAATCATAAAAACGTATTTACTAGCAAACTATAGTGATAATTGTAGGTTTACTTATTATAAAATATTTGATTGAATATAACATATTTCTTTTAGTATTAGTGTATTTAATTCAATTTATAGAAACTATTACTCTTTTATATTTAATGTATTCGCGTCAAATTATTAAATATTAAAGTCCTAATTGTTTAGATATACATAATATAGTAGAAAATTTAAACACAATCGTTATAATTTATGTTATAATATTGATTTAAAAAAAAAAAAAAGAAAATTGGAACTCTAAATTTACGTACACCCTACACACATGTATACTCGCAGGACCATATGTACGCGAGAAAAAAAAAGAAATATTTATATATTAGAAAGAGTATTACTTATTATTAAATTAGATCAACAATGCTTTATATAAAAAGTTCTCATATAAAATTAATTCCATATTGCATAATATATAAAGTTTTTATCGATTAAAAATTATGTACTTCAAAATGCAAGAAGCATTTTGAAATTCTGAAAATATGTTTTTGTACTTTTTAATAATAATATTTAGCATAGAACACAAAGTATACATACTTATTATAACTTTAATGCAAGATAAAATTGATATAATTTTGAATTTGAATATTTAAATATTGTACTTCGGTATATTAGCATATCTAAATAAATTAAAATTTAATGTTCGAATTGAAAGTATGATTATCTACATAATGATATTCTATATAAAAATACCTATTCAGAAACCTGAATATCTGAATACAATATTTAAATATACGCGGTCTCTTCAATTTTCCAAATAAAATTTTAGAAATATTTATAAGTTTTTTTTGTAAATCTTTTTGTAAATGTACTGACTTGATTTTATGTTTAATATGGGAATATTTGAAAATACATTTACTCGTAAATGTTTCATCATAAGGCAATTATTATATTTGTAAAAAAAAAAAAAAAAAAAAAAAAAAAAAAAAAAACTACAAATTTTTAAGCATTTCTTAATTGATTTACGAGACTTGCTTTAAATTTAAAAAAAGATTTGGTTTAATGCCAAAGTTCTCCTCCAAACATTAATCATGTTTTAAATGTAGTACTTGATTTTAAAAGCAGTTGATACTTAAACGGTCATATAATTTAAAATAGTTACAAAAAAAATTTGAATTTTAAACATTGCAACAATAGTAGTTGGACGCATAAAGTACTCGATTACACGCATTATTACTGAATAATAAAGCAATAAATACTTGAATGTAAAATTTGATAATTTATTTTAAAATACTTATTACTATGGCAATTATTAAATAATTATGAATTTTATTTTAATTTATTTACTATTAAATTTACTTAGTGAATCTATGACTATAATTTACGTATAAAATTTCGTGTACGAATAAATAAATAGTCAAAATGTACTTAAAAATCTATATAAATAAACGAAGTAAACAATAAGCGTTACTAGTATTATAATCAATTATGAAAATGATAATTTCATTATAACTAAATCATGGACAAAATATCACATTAACAATTATATATTCAAGCTACAAAGGTTTTGTATTACATTAAATAATTTTCAAGTAACCTACATATTCGGAAATTTTAATATTGAATTTCTGTTGTATTTTTATAAAATACATTTATAATTTTTAGTAAATTTAATATTTAGCAAATAAAATCAAAATATTTAATTTTTTATATAATATTGAAGGACAACTTATACTATATAAAGTATGAAGTATAAATGTCAAGAATATTTATTTTAATAAAACTATTCCTACTTCTTTATCAATAATTGAAAATAAAAATAGATTTTATGATATATCTGTATAAAGAATAATTCTATGACAAAATATAAATATTATTGTAATACATAATATTTGTTTTTTTTTTTTTTTGGTATATTTGATCAAGAAAAAAATTCGGAAACCTTATTTATTTATATTATTATTATCCGTATAGTCAATAATACACTATTGACCTTATATCTTATCTATTGTTATTAACATTAAAATGTAATAAAACAAATTTCTAATATGTCTACTTATATTTAATTATCACGTCGCATAGTACTAATATAACTAATTTTATGTATTTGAGAATTTATCATCACATGGCTAGGAGAATGAAATTCCTCAATATTTAAATATAGCATTATCGGCTGTACTAATATTTAGAATTTTTTTTAATTATTCACTGCCTAATTGTTAGATTCTACATTATTTTCAAATACTTCTCGTAATCCCATGTACAGGAATGCTGTGTACGAACTGTGTAAGAGCACTTTGTTGGTATATCTGAATTTCCTGAATTTCCAATAGCCTTTGTTACGTATTTGGTAGAACTTTTTGTTAATATTATGCTATTTATTGAGAATACATTTTTTATATTTTTTATAGCTTTCAGTAAGTTTGCTAGCAACAATTAATATCCAATAGTATTTTCTCCTAAATACAGTTATAAGTGTTGCGAGCTTTATCGTAGTTTTCAATCAATAAGCAGCTCAATCAATACAATTATATACATATACGTCTACATATCCATTAGGTTCTTTTATAAAATAAATAAGCTATGGCCTGATAATAAAAAGATTCGTGAATATAATGAAAAGTTTTCTATTAAATAGATAATAATAATTCATATTATATTCCATGTTAAATAATAATAAAGTTTACGAGGTGAATTTTTCTCAAAATTTTTATAGCGAAGCTGCCGAAAGATATTAGGATTAATTTTGATTTTCAGTTTGAATTAAGATGCACGTTCATTTACAAAATTCAAGTAGTAAAAATAATTTCTTTTAATCTGTTTCTATGATTATTATTGATTATTTTAGAATTTATTTATTTAATTTTAAGTCATGACAATTAATTTAAACTGAATTTGTGAAATTACTAGTATAATATCTATAAAATATTTCAACTCTTTATACATTCTATAGATTATGAAAATAAATTTTTTATTTTTTATACAATCAAGTTCTATCGAATAATTGTTATTAATTAACATTATGTACCTGTAAAAAACAAATAGTTACTTCAATTGCTTTTGATACATACATGTGTAATTTAATTAATGTTTAATTAATGCATTAATAGATCAATACTTGTAATTATTTGATATTTTAAAGTGTTCATTTATATCTAATTTAGATCTAATTCGGGAGAAAAATGTACTAGTAAATGAAATTGATCAAAATCAATTATAAAAGGGTTTAACAAAGTCTATTTGATTATTATGATTAACGTTAATTTCTTAAAATCATGGAATAACAT